CATAACTATGTATATAATATAGTATCTCAGTTTACATTATTTAGTATAGTTTTAGGCACTTAAATGTACTTGGTAGGGAGTAGAAACCAAGTATGCAATTAAATAAGTTTCTTAAGTAAATGTATTCCTTATAAATATTCAGCTTACTTTAAAAACAATGTTTGAGTAACAAATACTTCTTTGAAATATTTGTTTGGGGCCATTTTTACCTACTTGTCATTTGGGGCCATTTTTTCCGGGGTCATTTTTTCCGGGGCCATTATTACCTACATTCAGTATTCTCAAACAGACGGTAAGAAAAATCAGTTTCTGGTTACCATGATTACTGTTATTATATTATGCCAATACTGGGCTTCTCAACATTCAAAAAAAAAATCCTAGGCTTGGTATTCAGTCTACTAATTTTCCAGGTCATTTGGAGCAGGGTACTTAAGCCCTCCTGCCGAACAGACCAAGGGCTAATAGCGTAGGTATGGAAAACGAAAGGGGGGGGGGGAGAGTCCCCAACCAAGACTAACGGTTATAATAAGAATATTACGATATTTTTTGTATTAATTAAAGTAAAGAGGCACATTATGTTCTGATCAGTCTCGATAGTCAGACATCTTGATCAGGTGAATTAACATTTTGAGAGTGGCCATGTGTCCATACCAACCGTCATCCCACCATGGTTTGAGCTTAGGTGGGGAAAAAAATTAAGGTAGTGGCAACTCAAAAATAGCACTCTCAAAAATGAGAAAAAGGCCTTGTTTCCCTTCCACCACTGCTCTTTGTTGTGATTGGTCGGTTGTTATTTGATTAGCATTCTGTAAAGGTCAATTAGGCCTAGGTTCTGAAATTCAAGTGTTTTTTCTATTCAACCAAAATGTATTTTTTCACACGTTCCATATGGTGTTGACTTAAACTAATATAAACACGACTTGAACAATGCGAAGGTATACGGTACACTTGAAAGAGTCAGATAACACTGACTCGTTTAAAGATTTTAACAACACTGTACAACTAGTCGTACGGTACCGGTATACAAAACTGGACGAGACAACTTCAAATATTCTTCCTTCCACATTAAGCTTATATTCTCCACTCGGACAATTGCTGAATCATTGTATCAAATTATCTTTTCCTCCTATACATTTTTTTCTTGCCACGCTCTTCCCAACTCCTTCAATTTTATTAATCCTGGCGCCGCGCAAATAAACGTGCTTTTCTTAAAGGCCGCCAAATGCAATTTTCAGAATTAAAAATATTCATGCATATAAGAGTCAGTGGTGTATCTACGGGTGTGCATGGACACCACCCCTTCACCTCCAAAGCTCGCCCACCCCATGCTCACTTAATTCTTCTTTTAAACCCAATTCTTACTTTATCTTCTCCACGCCCCACCCCCCGACATGCGTCGTTTCCCCTTTAGCTCCTCCCCATTTCAAGACTTTTAGATACGCGCTACTGACAAGTGCGTAGTTGTTAGGCTGATATATTATTATTTTATTTTCACACGGCGATCTTCTGATTGAACGTTAGTAGTTTTGTACCACTACGTCTAAATTTGAAAGTACGTCTTATTTATTATTTCATCTTTACTTCACTTGCGTGTCTCCTGTTGATGCTCACAAAAGCGAGTCGATTAAATTATTCTGTAGATTAAATACAGTACAACCAATAGGACACTGCGGATGGTAAAGCAGATATTATCAAGTGGCACTCGTGATAGATTCTCGACTACCGGAATTAATTGAATAGAAGCTGCATTTACATGTGTCACTCCGTTTAATGGTCGGTGGTGCAGAAATATATAACAAGAAGTCGACATTGTACTCCAGTGCTCTGTAATAGGTAAAGTGTTATTGTTTAGATTATTATATTATAGTACAATAGTAGTTGATCTACTATACTATACTATACCGTATTGTTTAGTACAATAGTTGTGTTGATTGTAGTATGCAATCTGGAGAGTGAGCCCTCGGGGTCAAGTGGAGGCAGATAAATAAAGATGGCGAGTAAGACCATACTGAAATAAAACTCAATAGAGTCCGTTGTATAATGTTCTACTCCGTATAACAACTCATCACATGGTGTCAGGAGAAACTTGGTTGCCTCCGGCTGAGTTACAACCCATTAATGAAAATTGTGCGTCCTTGTGAAGCTAGCCTAAGAGAGACCAACGCTAGGCCCTCGCTCCGACAGTGAAGATTTAGACTGCTTGCCGTACAGGTATTTTATTTAGTGGCGTGTGTTGGTGAATGGTTCGCCCTGTTACACGGTTCAGTCGATCTCGCGCTGGGCTGTGTTGCAAAGTAGCTAACACATCGTTGCTGTTATACGGTTCTTAACTCAAGGGTTCGGCACTAGCACGAGCTTATAAAACACAAAAACAAAAATGGATAGGGACAGGAAGCCATACATGAACTGGAATAGTCCCGATCTGGCGAAGGAGTTTAAACGGTTTAAGCAATATTGCGTGTTTATGTTCAATGGTCCCCTTAGCGACAAGTCGGAGGTTCAGAAGGTCAACTACCTTATGACATTTATAGGGGATAGAGGAAGAGGAATCTACCACACCTTCCAATGGGAACCGGCCAAAGAAGCTACCGAAAATAGCCCAGCCATGCCAGCCGAGAATGAGCTGCTTGAGGGTGTGTATAAGAAATTTTAAAGGTATGTCGCCCCAAAGCGCAACGAAATAAAAGCCACAGTGGAATTCAATAGAAAATTCCAAAATTGGGAGGAAAGTTTTGATAACTTTGTCACCGACCTTAGGGTTTTGGTTGCTTACTGCAACTATACAGACATGCAGCGCATGCTGCGTGATGCAATAGTGATGAGGGCTAAAGACCCGAAAGTACAAGAAAAATGTTTAGAGGAAGGGGATGACCTCACCCTAGACAAAGCAATAAAAATAGGGCAGAATGTAGAGATATCTAAGAAAAGCTTGAGCGCCATAAGCGCACAAACAGCAATTGATGTACAAGTAGTGAAGAAAAAAACACCGCCTCGGCAAAAATCACAAATAACCTGTAAGCGATGCGGTAAACTACATGCCATGCGGGCATGTCCTGCATGGGGGACAACTTGCTTCCGGTGTAAAGGGAAAAACCACTGGGCAAAGTTTTGTCGAAGTAAATCAACAGTAGATGAGATCGTTGAAGCAGACACTAATACCGATGATGAATATTTTGTAGATGTTGTGGGTCTCCAGAAACAAGAAACAAACAACTGGATGCTCAACCTTCAGGTACAAAATAGAACTGTTAGGTTCAAGTTAGATTCAGGGGCACAGTGTAATATATTGCCCAAATGTGTTTATGACAAACTAGGCGCAGATCTGACAAAGTCAAATGCCAGACTTGTCTCCTATTCCGGGAACTGTATGAAGCCTATTGGCAAGTGCATTATAG